AGTAGCAACTCACCTCTGATGGTGCCACGCTCGGAAGTGATGAGGTAAGAAGTAATCACAAAATCATAATACATACCAGGCACAAATATTTTGGAGCACCAACACATGCGAATGGAATTGAGACTTATGAGATATGTCAGTCAAGACTCCAAGTATCTCCTTCGACAATTTGAAGAAAGTATGATCGATAAAATTCATTGGATATAGCAGAATCCTGTTAAATCAGAGATTTTAGAAAGAGTCATACGCCACTCACACCAGTCTTCAAAGAATATATGCACATAATTAGCTATGTGAAGTCCACTACCACATTTTTTTTGTTCATCAATGATGTACCGAATTGGTACGAAAAGCAAAGTCGCAGCGGTAAGAAACGTGATCATCTCATTGCAACGTTTTACATAATATGACCATTGGTTCCTGAAAATCGAAAGTATAAAAACAAAAAGCTCTTCATGTAAATGAATTATCATATGCTGCCAAATATTAAATAAAAGCATTTATCTTATGTTATTTTTGGATTTTATAATAATTTCTCCCTAATAGAAAGAACGGATGAATAGATCAAAATAAAAAAAAGAGGTCCATGTAAATCTGTAAAATAAATCGAAATAAAAATTATAGTCTCACCGATTTACGGCGCTTCCAAGCTATTGCAAATTTTCTTGCGTCATTGTACAGAAAGTATCAAATTCGGATCCATCGGTTGCTCTTCCAGCTTCCTCAAAGTGCCTTGCAACGGCGGGTCAGCCTTGTCTCTTTCTTTCGATGATGGAGGCTCGACTTTTTTTTACGAGGACAAAGTGAGTATTATTGGTTGTGATGCCCTTGTGGCTTGACTACAAGAACGGTGTATATTGATTCAACAAAGAAAAAAAAAACCTTATAGTTTTGTAAGCTACCTCTCACACAAACAGTCAACCTCAGCAAATTCCGGATTTTCTTGGGAATCAAGAAACTCATCACCATGAAAGAATTTGAATCATAAAAACATATGCTTCTTGGAGACGAAATCGCTAAACAAGAAGGGAAAGTAATTACTTAGAAAATGAGCTCCCGGTTTTGACTTGTTTCAAGTTATTTTGCTTTGCATGAAACTGCGATGGTGAAGAAGATAATAATACCATCAATGGACATATATCCTGCATTAACTCCTTGGATGCCCAGGCCTAATCATTTTCTTTCTCAAACAGCGTCCTTTCATAGTGCAATCTAAAGGACGTCGTGTATTCATTATTCAATAACACCCACAAACGCGAGGGGCAAATATGTAAATAACAATAATTTAAACACTTATGCAAGAAGAGAGACCAAATGGGTTGTGCAAAAATAATCTGCTAAAAAAACTTTGAAGAGAAAATTAGCATTGGTACCACATTTGGCCCAAAAGTTATCTCCTCTACCACATTAGAGGCCCAATTATCATTCATACCACATTGTGCTTGTAAAATGACCATTTTACCCTCCAACCGGTGAGATAAGGAACTGCGGTTGATGTGACCCTCCGAAATTCCTGTCATCCTTTGTCTCTCTCCTGGCGCATTGGTAACCGTTTTCGTCTCTCTGGCTGGTAAAACAAAGTTGTCCCCAAGTAAATGCAGATCTTCGTCTTCGGCTCTCTGGCGGAATAAAATAAAAATCAAATTGTCTCCGAGTAAATCCAGATCTCTGGCTGGTAAAACCACATCATCTGGCGATGAACAATCAAGAGAAGTTGTCCCCGAGTAAATCTAGATCTCTGGCTGGTAAAACCACATCATCTGGCGATGGACAATCAAGAGATCCAGTTTCCCCGATCCAGTTGTCCCTGAATTTTACCCATATCATCTCCCCAAACGTTTTTATCAATTAATTATTTGCCTTGACCTAGTAATTAATGCTTTGTATTATATTTTAATGTCTAATAATCATTGTCACCATTTAATGTGGTTGTTCACCTTTTTCAACATGCTGTACTTTTTCTGACGCACAGTGCATTTATTCTTTCTCTTTCTACAGAGTCATAAGGGGCAAAATCGTCCATCGTCTACCACAATACTACAAACAAGTGGTACAAGTGCTAAACTATTCTCCATTGTGATAGAGATGCTAAAGAATTTGAAAAATGTGATACATTTGGCAAAAATCCCAACTTTGAATCTATATTGATAATTAATATTTATATACTCCTCTCACTCATTAAAAAAAGGTTGAGAACTACAAAAATATATATGGAAAAATGGGTGCCAAAGTTGCAAATAAACCACATTTTGTTTTGTTTCGTATTAGAATTTTTTTTAATAGCAAAATATCACTATCTCTAAAAGTTGTAACCAAGCTCACATCATATCTGCAAGTTTCTTCTTCAAGTTTCTGCTCCTCAAGCTATAAGTCTCGAAAACACACTGACCAAAAAAGCAGTATCGTACGTGCAAGCCTCAGGTGAATGAATCACTTTCCTTTCAATAACACTCGGCTCGGACCGTCCTTACCAATTATCGTATTTTTCACGTACATCCAAGGAAACCTTTGTGTTCATTAAAAGGAGTGATCGACGCGCCTCTATGATGAACCCTAGTCGGATATTTTGGACTGTTCCCCACTAGATAACTTGTTTTCATCGGATTTGGCCCTACATTGTAGTCTACTTAAGACTTCACAAATCCGAGCATCATTTCGAGTGTTATGGTTCCTTGATGACACTCAAGATTGGTGTTTGGTTTTTGGAGATGATTGGAATGACAGCAAAGTGATAAAAGGAACAACGGCTGTTTCAAATCTCTATGTTTCATTAATCGATTCATACTATACAGAATAAAAAAACTATAAGAAAACTCTCTTTATCCATTCCTATATCTCATAACAAGTATAAAGCTGCTCTGTTCTATTTTTTCCTTTCTATACAAGGCAATAATCCTTTCTAAAGTCATATACATCTCTCCCTTTCTCTATATGTTTCATCAATCAATGGAAACTGTACAAAAACCAAAGCTACAGGTAGATCTGGAGGAGAGTTGTATCACCAGTAGATATTTCGTGTACAGTAATATCCGGATCCATGTAATCTACTTCAGCCCCTGATCGCAAAAAGTAGTCTTTGTCGTCATCTGGTGTTAGCTCGTCAATGGCATCACGGATGTCTCTGACGGTTTGGTTTGATCTAAAAGGAATATTTACCAATCGCCCATTGGCCAAGATGATAGTTATTGTAATAGTACTCCCCGCAGCTTGAGGCCCCACAACAATCATGTCTTGGTAAGCAACATGATCAGGGAATGTCTCCATGCTTGAGTCTTTCTCCACACCCTCACCCTTAAAGTTAAGTCAAAACAAAATACTCAGAAGAGAAAGTTGAGAAATGTTACCAGTAACTGTATATCAATGTTGAGTTCCCTTTTTTTTATAACCATCTTAAGAAAACAGATAAAGCCAAGCCAAAGAAAGGCCATTAACACATAATAGAATGTTAAGTCCTTATGTCGAACTAAGATCCACATTGCCTGCTTCAGTTTTGAGTTAGCTTTTAACAAACACAGTTCGAGAAACCAAGCAAGAGGAAGAAAAGGTTACATACATCCACTTGAGACGACGCCTTTCCAAGAATAGCTACTGCGGCGTTTTCTTTACCAGCCTCTTCGAGTGACCTTTCTGACTTGGTCGGATCAACCTCCATCAAACTGTACAAGTAAGCGAATGGCGGAAAAAACATTCAGAACTGGAAGTTTAGCGATCAGACAGGAGAGAGATTCATACTAAGTATACTCTATAAACCAGCATCTACGGGACTAGTTCATACTTCTTGGAGATAAAATCGCAAGTTAAAAACTGAGAGCAAATAGAGAAGAAAAGGAAATCACCTAGAAGTGCTTCCTTCTTTCAAGTAACCAAGTGAAGCCTGAAACTGCGATTGTGAAGGTAATTCGATGGATGGAAGAGGCAGCTCTCTGTTCTCCTTCAAACTCATAGCTATTTCTGCTGACATTTCATGCTCTGAGAACCCATGTAATACGGGGTTTTCTTCACCTGCCTCTTGGAGTGACCTTTCTGACTCTGTCCGATCAACCTCCATCAAACTGTACAAGTAATCGAATGGCAGGAAAAAGATTCAGAAATGGAAGCTTAGAGATCCTGAAAGGATAGGAGAGAGATTCATACTAAGCATACTCTATAAATCAACATCTACGGGTATATTTCATGCTTCTTGGAGACAAAATCGAAAGTAAAAAAGGGAGAGAGAAGAAAAAGAAATCACCTAGAAGTGCTTCCATCTGTAAAGTAACCAAGTGAAGCCTGAAACTGTGATTGTGAAGGTAATTCGATAGATGGAAGAGGCAGCCCTCTGTTATCCTTCGAACTCATAGCGATTGCCTTTGAGAACCTGTCCATATAAAAGCCGACGGCTCGGTCTACATCCCAATTGCAGAGTTTAAGGCAATCGATTGCCTCCTCTCTAGTCGCTCCACCAACCACATTACTGAATGAAGAGATGCGTTCATAATTGAATTGAGACAGTTGCACTGGCAAATTAGGCGGCGCCTCAGCAGATGCCTCGCTCACCGAAACCTCCGGCAAGATTCGATCAACCCAAGTTTCCTCCGGTGGCTAAATACTTTTTAATTCCTGGTTATTTTGAATCTGAATGGAGAAATGCAGGCAGTGTATGCATCAACATTGAGTTCCATTCTTTTTAACTATCGTACGAAAACAAACAAGGCCAAGCCAAAGAAATACTTCTAGCCATATAATGGAGAGAAAGAGAAGATTACACTACCTTGACTTGAGATGACGCCATTAGAGGTACAGCTTCAGGGATATGTTCTCCTCTCGAGTCAACCTCCATCGAACTGATAAAAGTAAGAAAATGACGAAAATTACACAAAAACCCTAAATCAAGAAATTCATCAGAATAGAAATCGAATCAGAAAGAAAAACCCTAAGCACATAATACGAAACCAATCCATACTCAAAAGAAGAGCTCCCGATTTTGAGTGGTTTCGAGTAATCTTGAAACTGCGGTTTTGAAACTAATCGTAGAGGATTCGACTTCTTTTGAGAAGGCGGTGGACGGCGCTCGACCAA